GCAGGATGTCTGGAACACGAGTAAATTGTTTCAAAAACGTTTTCCACAAGAGTTGGAAATTAGTTTTCAAAAATATTGGTTGTTGAGTTTGTTGTGGGAAATAGCTGCTTTAGATAGCCTTTAGACTTAGACAGGAATGATAAAGCTCATGTGTGTCTTAAGGTGAGACGTGCAGACACTTTCAATTGAGAAGGATTTGAGATCACAAGTATTATGGAATTGCATAATGGAGCAGTAAGAAGCAATATGGTTACCAATGGAGGAGCATAAAAAATGATAAAAAAACAAGAAAAAGAAAAAAAAAGGAAAAGAAAGAATCCATTGGTATTGAGTGAAGTAGAAAGAGCACAAAAGAGTTGACTCACCATGTCTAATGTCACCCCCATCAAAGGCTGATGATCACACTACACTGGTATGATTATCCTCGAACTCAAATCTCATCAAAGGAAGTTGATACATCATCTCAAAGGCTCATGATAACACTACGCTGATATGATTATCCTCGAACTCAAATCTCATCGAAGGAAGTGGATACATCATCTCTTAAGCCACGGTTTTGCTCTTCATCGCTTATGAAGACTGCTTCTTGGGATATGTCAGCGTGCTAACCATGATAAATCAGTGTGAATTTGATGCTGGAACACGAAGTTATTTGTTTTTACACAGCTCTCAAAATTCTTAATACTTGTGTTTCTTTCATTCGGCCTTTGATGAAGTTCTAGCAAAGTTCTCATAAGGGAAGGGAAAGCTCATTGACACTTGACGTACTTTTCTCTCTTTCCTAAGGGGTTTGAACAGAAATACCCAAATAAAACCCAAATTTTAGATTGGTCGAATAGTAATATGAGAAGTTTTTAAATTTAGTTCATTATTTTAGTTTTGTAGTAATTTATATGTATTTATGTGCTTTATTTTTCAGGTTTTGTTTGGGATTTTCAAGGATTTTTTCGATAATTTCAGTTGAACTATTAGTATTTTGTTCGATTTTTCAAGTCGTTATTTTAATTTAAAGTTAAGATATCAAAAATAATATATTTTTTAATTATTTTGAAATTTATGGATTATTTTATTGAATAAATTTCCGTTAAGAATTTATTTTAGATGTTACTGTCATTTTCTTTAAAAATTCAATTAACCGAATCAAATCGAAAATCTAAATAACCGAAACAAAATTAGTTTACTTTGGTCAAAATATTTGTGCTCCAGACAATTTAAACCCAATCCAAAACCTAAAAAACTTGATCCAAATTTTAATTGGATTGAATTTTGGAATAATTCTTAATCCAAATAATCTAATCCAAAACCCAGTTTGGCCACCCCCTATGTGGAGTTGTTCCAACAGGAGGATTAAAGTGATGTGGCAAAAGGAGCTATAAAGCGCCAAGAAGAAGGACATATTCAATTAAGGAAGAATTTGTAGCCGAAGATACATGATACGTTCGAATCAGGCAACTTCGAAGATTTACTTATCCGACGAATATAAAAATGATTGAAGTAGAAATTTCTAGAGTTAGCGTTTCAAGAGAAAGAAAAATTGCAGAGCTTTTCTATTGAGAGAGTGTTGGTAACTCTGTAAACGGGGACAAGAGTGTGCAAAGACAAAAGGATTTGTCTTTGATATTGCTTACAA